TGACTCGTTTGCGTACTGCATACAACATGACCAAAGGTGCTACGCGGCCCGCCCTGCCATGTCATGCATTCCCACATCACACCAGACAATTCCTTCCTGCTGAAGTATGTTGTCTTCCACCATTTCCGCTCTCTAGGCTGGGTCGTACGCCCTGGTATCAAATTTGCTGTCGACTATTTGCTTTATATACGCGGGCCTGCCTTTACTCACGCAGAATTTGCTATCATGATCATCCCTTCCTATTCAGCACCTTACTGGAATGAGCAACCGGATGGCGCGACAAAGCCGAGGGGTGCGGATAAGGAGCAAAAGGATTGGTGGTGGTTTCACCGGGTCAATCGAGTGCAAACTCAGGTCATGAAAACGTTGATGCTCGTCTACGTTGAAGTACCGGAACCGTGGGACACGAAGTGCATGGAAATGGATGGTTTCAAGATAGACGTCGGTAGTGTGCTGAAAAAGTACACGGTTCGAGAGGTCGTCTTCAAGAGATGGAGTCCAAGCCGAAACAGAGATTGAGTGCAACCTAGCGGGAACTACTGTCAAATCATAAAGACTTGAAAACAAGCACGAAGAGATGAATATATGATGAATGAACTGCCATTTGCTGCACGATAATTGCCTTACATGAAGTGAACGTTGCCGACACTCTGAGAGTGATTTTGCGTGATCATACACTTCCGTTTCCAGACTGTGAAAGTGAATCGCGATTGTCGCTTTACTAGAAGTTGTAGGTGGATACAGGCGCGGTCACTGCAGGTTGGACCGAGCTCTTTGTCGGGTCCTGCCTTTACACATCATGATCTATTGGATCATCGTATGCAACATAACGATGACTTCAACTCTCAACGTACTCATTACAACCACATGATTGTATATGTAAATCATGTCGATGCTTAGCAGCAGATTTTCACAGCGCAATTTCGTTGTAACAACAATATAAGTAAGCATTACAGCCACATAACGTTTTTTAGATCTCTAAGAACGCCGTTGGATTCCCTGACTTGTATATTACACCACGCACCTCGGCATTACACCACCTTCATCTCCGTCATAACCTGAATTGTATGATCGTAAATAACTCAAATTACGATAATATTCAAGGCTTTACCCAAGCTGCCGGTCGGTCTCGACGCACACATTACCATGACGACTACAGCCATAGTGCCTCACGAATCTGCTTGCACTTAATCTTCACCGACCATCAGGACCACTGAGATGTCCTCGCCCACGCCCACACCTAAGACAAGCGACTTCTTCGGGGTTTTGAATCGCGACGTCCGAGATGTTATCTATGGCTACATGACCTTTGGAAAGATCCAAACGACCATGCTAGAAACTGGCTTAGCTTTGTGGCTACTTGTCGGCAGGCAAAATAAGAATTAGGGTAAGAGGGTATGCGGTATTTGTGGGAGTACGTTAACCAACTCCATCCACAGTACAGAAAATGTACAGGATATAGCCTAAGACTACCGCATAAGGTGAAGGATATGGCGAGCTTATCTTGATCACCGATGCACCACCCTACAAAATCTTGTCCTTAGATATTTGGTGAGAAGATATGTGAAATTTCGGAAGGTGCGTACCACGGAAGAAACTTGCGGAACTACAGTCCGTTCTAGATAAATTGTATTATGTCCCCACGTCATATAGTGGGCATGAACCTTTCACAAAGAGGTCCACTTTAATGAAATATTGGGAACGTAACCATAGTATGCACTGTTTAATGTGTACACTAAAAGGCATGACTCCCACACTATATGGTAGTGATGAGGTAATAGTAGGGGTCCAGCTGCCCACCTGGGTATGCGCTCCTGGTCGCTACCACCGTTAGTCTACACACCAACCAATCCCAGACGTACTTCATCGTGCGCACACACCCTAGAGTGATCTTTTGTACGGTCATGTATCCAGCAGACCCTACAATATGTACACGATCTACGAGAAACGAGCCTATGGTATATGTTACCTAGACCCTGACTAAGAACCATACCCACCGCTTACGACAACACTTGTATGATCAGCACGACTCTATGACTCCTACAGCGAACTCAAACACTACCTAATTCAGTATAGTTTATCTTAGTTATTAGTTTGGTTGTCTGAGTATATAAGAAAAAAATCCCCTCTTACCGAGAGTACATCCCAAGTCTCTTCATATCACGTAACTTTTCACAAAGTTCACCACAAAGTCCACAAACCGCTTCACAAACTCCTCTGAACACTACCAAACAACTCTCTAAAAACTCCTCTAAAAACTACCACCCAAACATCTTCATCAACTTCATCGCCAAAATGGTCAAGCGAAGTTGCCCACCTGTGCGCCACACAAGGCACGCAGAAGAAATGCGGGCACGCAAACGGATGCGAACAACTACCCGTCAAAACCCCTTCTTCGAACACCTGAACTATGATGTTCGCCGCTGTATCTTTGACTACCTCACTTTGCCACCATTCCCGGGCGCAAAAAGCTGCGCAGGCATGTATCTCTCATGCCGGCAGTTCAAAAACGAGATGGACCAAGCAGCCAGCGTCCAACTCCGCAACCATCTCCTCAACTACCAGAAGCAGATCGCAAAAGAAAGCGATGGACAAGTTCAAGTCCAGCTGCCCCAGGAGATCGAGATCAGACCTGTCCCCACCGACAGTGTTATGGACATCAGCGTCACGATGAATGCGGGGTCACACAAACTTGAAGTTTCTCGCTTCATTTTGGCACTCCACGAAATGCTTTTCGGTCTCAACATCAATGTACTACACATTCACATCGATCTACCCTTTATAGATTTGAACTATTACACAAATCATCCACACTTACGATTGGATTGGACATCAGTCGTTTCGGAACTGCTCCATCAATTACTGCGCTCTCCTCGCAATGACAAGCCCATCACGCACTCTATTCGCAAAGATAAGCCCATCATGCGCGTTCGCGAAACCATCATAACATGGAGGGCTCCTGAGACAGCTACTGGGCAAGCTCCCGAAGCGAATACATCACCCAAAGCGCTCATGGTCATGGGGCAGAAACTCCAGATTGCGAACGCAACTCCAGGCACACCATACAGTTACTTCTTTTGTCACAAAGCCATAAATTGTGGAGCCTGGATTATCGCCATACCCAACCTTTTCGAACAAGGGCGAGCAATGTCGAGTTTGGAGTTCGATGTGTTGACCGCCTGTGACTCTCACGGACATCAGCACAGCCTTGAGTTCTCCAAAACGACTATAAATTCTACGACGCTACAAATCAGCGATGGCAAGGAAACGACGGAGAGGTTTAGAAATAAGGCAATTCGATTCTACAACAGCATCGAAAAACAGAGAAAAAAGTCGACGGCTCTCGGAGGATCTATCGTCACAATTTTGTAATCATTGGTTCTTCGGGTTGGCGGACATCTGGCGAGATGGATCGAGTATAAGTTTGGGAACGGGAGGATGGCAAGGGATAAAGTGGCGACATGGAAGGGTTAGGAAACAGCGGAGGATTCATGATTGGATGCGGGGACATGGAATGACACTGCGGATTACACGCCATCAATTCATCGATGCACCATCATCATACAAATGAACTTCTCAAATTGATGTGTGAATAAATAACTCCCAGATATACTAACCAAGCTACTGTGGCTACATTTTGCCCAAATATTTCCCTTGTTCCCTCATGCTAACTCAGAATTGCGATCCCTCTCACCCAGCAAATTCTGGGGTGGCCTTCTTCACCCCAAACCTCTTGCCCAGAATGACAAATTGCCCCGCAAGTATCATCTGACTCCACTTAGGCCTATCTCCATCAAAGATAGCATCATGCAAAAGATCCTTACACTTCTCCCACTCCAGGAACCCCAGTGCCTCAACATTCTCCTTCGTTATCAGGCGTTCAAACAGCTTGTGCACTGGCCCATCAGGCTTATACTTGACTGGAGCGGAGAAGGGGTGCTTCTTTCGCGCGTAGAGCTCGGGTGTGATGAAAGGCTTCATAGCTTCTTTCAGGATCCACTTCTCGCTAAATGTACTGGTTGAGGGGTCATAGTGTAGCTTCACGGAGGGTGGGAGCGCCATGGCGTATTCGGTAAGACGGTGGTCGAGGAAGGGTTGCCGGCCTTCAACGCTGTGTGCCATTTCGCAGCGGTCGCCCAGAACTGTCAGTAGTCCGTTTGCCAACGACGACTTCGTCCAGATGTATAGCGAAGTGTGCAGTGGATGCCATTTGTTCAACATGAGTTCGCGCGTACGGCCGTCGATGGAGTTGACTGCTGTGAGGCGCTTGTCGCTCGTGCCAAATTCTTGGAAGACCCAAGGAGCGAGGAGAGGGTCGCGCAGAGAAGCTGTTTGTGTGAAGCCGAGGAAAGAAGTGTTGTTTACTTGGGCGCGCACTGCAGCAGAAGTCGCGAGTTCCTTGGGCCCGGACGTCTCCGAGCCTTCCAGGCTGTTGAATGTAGATATTCGAACATCTTCTGTGAGTCCTTTATCTGGCCATGCGAGATCGGGTTCGCGCACGAAGTCAGTGAGGAGCTCTCTGTAGCCGGCAAAGTGCTCGTCCGATCCTTCGCCGGTGAGTACGACCTTTATGCCTTCATCGCTGGTAAGCTTTGACAGCAGGAATTTGCCGACTGTACCTAGATCAGTGACTGCTGCTTCGTTGTGCCATACTGCATTCTCGATATTGGCGGCGAAATTATCTTCTGTCATCTCGCAGTGGTGCATCTTGACTCCGAGCCACTCAGCGGTGCGTCGCGCGATCGGTTCTTCATCGTGCTCTTCGCCGATGAATTTGACACTGAAGCAGTTGATTCTTTCTGATGCAGGTGCAGTGCCCAGCTGCGCGCCTTCTGTCTCCATTAGGTGCTTGACCATTCCTGCGATAGCGCTCGAGTCGATGCCGCCGCTAAGGAAAACACCAATAGGCACGTCTGCGCGGAGTCGATCTCGCACTGCATCTAAAAGATGTTTTCGCACGCCTTGTATCATTTCTTCTTCGCTTCTGGTTTCGATTTCTCGCTGGAAGGTCTAAGCGCATGTTTCTCTCCAAAGGGCCAGAACGTACCTTGTCTTTGAAATCTACGTCCCAGTACTTTTCCTGTGATATACTACCAAATGATCTACAGATCAGATAGTGACCAGGGAGAATTTTCGACACATTCTGGAAGACAGTTCTGCCATCGCAAAGCCAGCCAACGTCCTTGATGCTTTGCACGTCCCACTCCGGTTGCCAACCAAACGGAAGGAAGGCCTTCATTTCAGAAGCGATCTGCGGTTTTACAATCAGTAAAAACGCTATAGATGTACCATGAAATTATCTCACCAGAATTTTTCCTTCGAATATGGTGTAGTACATCGGTTTAATGGCGTATCGGTCGCATGCCGCGATGAAGATTTGGGCCTGCGAGTCGTAGAGACACAACGAGAACTCTCCGCGCAGATGTGAAAGAAATGAAAGTCCATGCTTCTTGTAAAGAGCCAACGCGATTTCCGAGTCAGACTGACTCTTGAACTTGTAGCCTTCATGACTGAGGCGATCCCGGATTTCTTCGTACCCGTACAGCTCTCCGTTGACGACGGCATGAATAGTACCTCCTGCATCGTGAAATGGTTGCTCACCTTCCGGGTTCAAGTCGACGATTGCCAGTCGATTGTGGCCAAGAGCTGGATGATGAAGGTATTAGTCACGTGACCTTCGGAAGCCGAGCCATACCCTGTTAACATACCCACACGGCAATCCTCGCTAATCCAATGTCCATTTGCATCAGGTCCGCGATGCTTGATATTATCAAGACTTTCCTCCAAGGTTTTACTCAACGCTCCTCGTTCCTTTGTCAATGGTCCATGACCCCACAACGCAACTGCACAAGTGATGCCACACATATTTTTGTCGTCTTAGGGATCCAAAGAAACGCTGTGTGCAGCGCGTCTCCATATCTTTCTTTCTGGAGTCTGGGGATGCTTTTAAGCATGACGTATAAGATAAACGCTGCAGCCGTAGTCGTGATTAAAGTTCCGCTGTCCATGATAAGCCAGCTGGCACGCGCCCCTTCTTACTAATTTGGGATCTAGTGCACACCGCTGTTGTCTAGATCGCGTTGTTCAAAGCGAAATGCTTTTTCATTAGAGAACACGGCATCTAAAATTTCCATACATTTTCAATAGACTTATCGGCTACTTTTCGCGCATCCTCTCAAAGCCAGCGTTCGTCACCGTCGCCCGGCAGGCCCCGGGCGTAGCGCCGATAATCGAAACTGCGACTCCCACACTTGAAGCATTTCTTTTTATGCTCGCTCTTTGGAAACGCCCTCCGGTACTCATGAGCCGAGGGCCGGAATCTACGCACAGATTCCCTTGATTCCTCTCCCAGAAGGTGATCCTCACTAACAGCTTGATAATATCGCAATCCGTGACACTCCGCTGTAGGGGCTTTTTGACAAATACCATCGACACCCACCATTTCCTCGCTGCGTAACCCATCCTTAGTGAGGTCCCACGAGATCACCAATCGCCTGATTAACGCTGGCTCGGGTCGCCAGTATTTCACCAAGTGGCGATACTTGTTGACTGACAGTTCCTTGTGTTGGCCGTTGGGGTCGTGTGCGAATTCGAAGCCACTTTCCAGGACAAAAAACAGACGCCTGAACGTGTTCGTAATCATATTGTCCCACAGACCAGACCCGTTCTCGACGGGACCTTGGAAACGCAATGTGAGGCTATCGAGCCAGAGGCGGAAGATCGCATTCAAGGGTCGGAACCTCTCAAAGAATTGACGGTGCTGATCAGCGCAACCTTGGATGGAGGGACCAGGAAACACAAGCGTCAAATTCCTGAGAGTGTGGAATTTTGCGTGCATTGAAGTAGGCGTTCTTGTGTCCAGGGGCAGCAGGATGCGTAACCCGGGCTGACATTGGGGCAGAACATCCTTCTTGAAAGCTACCAGCCACGCCTTTGTCGTACGGATTGCGACATCCTCACACTCATGTTTTGCTTGTTGGCAAGAGAGGATGATTCCATGGCATTGATGGTTGTCCACGGGCGGAAAGTCCAGTAGTTCATAGATTGCGATACGGAGTTCTGCAGGTAATTTGAAGAATGGTGATGCACTTTGCACGACTTGAGAAGAAGGCATCTTCGAACTTTGTATCGCTGGGTACTGATTTGATGAGTCTGGGAAAAGGCTCTTTTTAAGTTCGTGTGTGTCATGCAGCTTTTGTCGCTGCCTGATGGGCTTGGTTTTCATTGGCTAGTTGGTCAGCTCCACATGTCACCCCAACTCAAATTAGGAAAGAGGAGTGACGCGGCATAACCTGACTCATTATCTAGTTTAGATACCAGCCCAGCGAGCTGTCGTGGGACTTCTACATGTATTACACGAGGATGGAAGTGTCACAACCCCGCTATCTAATGGAAAAAGCCCAGCGGCTGATCATTTACGAATGCCGTTGTTTAAAGGCGGGGCAATTGTATCTATGGCGTTGTATAGCCCACGGTGGGATCTAACTACTGTTTCTTACACGTTCATATTTGCTGCCTTCAGCAGATCAAACTGACACATTACCTGATCATAACGAGTTCATTTGCAAGACCCAGCGCAAGAATGTATGCAAGAGAAAGAGCTGAGCGGAGACAGTGACTATAGTACTGGTTCACCACCAGCTATGCAGTTGGTCATAAAAAGCTTCTATTATTAACTGTCTAGGTGAGAGACGTGAGTATTACGTTAGCTCTGTCTTTGGAACTTGAGTCGGCAGGCTTTCTGGAAAGGAAGCTCCAAGAATCGTCTAGTCGCGACATGCAATCACTCAGTCAAGCTGATGGCACTATTATGTTTGCAGTTTGCACTTGACATTATTTTCACGGGAGCGGGGCTCTATAGACAATCATCACCTTTGTCTAAAGATGTCACGGTTTGGGGTCTCTCCTGCTCTGCTCCTGCAGTCGCAACTTACCTTTGTAATGGAACGATGCCTATCTGGGACTAGTGCTGTTTACGGTCACCCACCTACATATACAGTTTGTAGACTCAGACAATACAACCTCAGTTCAATCCTTCAATTCTTCCAGCACCCACTATCTCCCACAAAAGATCAACCCCCGAAATTCAATTCAACCACAACCCTCACACCAACCCACCAGTACGTGCGTAGACATATTTCATGTATAGGCTTTAACTAATAACTATCAGCAATCGCGAAGCCAGATCTACGATGAAGCTTCCAGCCTTGACTGCTGTGACTACAGCCTCGCTCTTCTTCGCTCACTCAGCTTCGGCTGGTCCGATTGGATATGGGATTTGTCAAGCTGGCTGTTCTGCGGTGGTAATGGCATGTTACTCGGCGGCTGGCTTCACCTGGGGAGCTACCTTGGGCGCCACGGCTCCTGCTAGTATTCTTGCTTGCAATGCTGCGTATGGAACGTGCCAGGCTGCTTGCGCCGCTGTCCTTCTAAGCCCAGTTCCCTAGAACTTAAGGCATGCACCTTCAAACCACACTCAAGGTTAACATGAGCTAACCTGGTATCAGTGCGATAGCATACATCTGTCAACCCATGTTTGCAATCAGATGATTGCGGACATTGAGTCACTCATAGAAAGTCACTCGGGTGGGTACGGGGGCATGTAAGAAGGTCGGCTGGATGGATTATGAGACCAAGGCAGATTCTCGGATGGCATCGTAGAGATAAATGTGTGGAAGCTTACAGACATGAATGAATAACAATCTTGCACTTGGTACTAAACCAGTCCTCTATTTGACTCAAAATCTTACGATTCGCTAAGTGGAAATGTAGATGGAAGATATATATCCGTGTTTGCTTCCTGTGACATTGATCTCATTTCCAAGCCTTCCACGATTCTTTTTTTACCGGCCACTCAATATCTCTGCAGTAATACAACCACATACTATAAAGCTAAGCTGATAAGCTTTATTATCCCCATATATGCGTAAAAGCAAGTATAGCATAAGATAAGAAGAAAGGACCACTCGATGATACCAACAAGACAGGCCAATCCATACATCAAAGCAAGACAACACAAAACCCCGACGAACAGGCAGAAACCTATCCATAATTGTCTCCCTTCACTGTTTCGTTCCCATGTACTTCAGCAACACAGTATTCTATCCCCGTGGAGTCAGAGTGGCCATCGGATAAGATAGCTTCCCAACCAAGCTTGACTGCGTCAAATGAAACAAGACTGGATGAAGGAGGAGTCCATCCGAAATTAATACACTTCAAATTTGGTATCTGTCGAATCGTGAGTATCGGTAGAGACGTCGGCTGCTTGACACTTCGGCCCGACTTCGGCCCACCTTGCGCAGAGCTTAGGTGTACCTTCGTAGCAGCTATGTTCGTAGAAGATCAATACCAATACCAGTCACCAGAAGAACCTCGTTGTTGTTATTCACCCGTACGATCGTACAAGGCCTACCAACACTGATCAGTGATTGCATGGCAGTCACAGACAGTTAGGTTAGAAGAGACAGATCCTATAACCCCGCGCGTTCCCTAGATCGCCTATATCAGCGGCGGAGTTATCTGTGCTAAGTTCACTGTTAGCTGTATCAGGCGTCTCATCCGGCTTGAGACCGACCGTTCCAGCCGTATCAGAGCGTTCCCAGACGCAGTCCATACACGCACCGACCCCCACTTGGTCGCGCCATTGACCCGTGTACAACCCACGACTACCGACGAGTCCCTGGCGAACGCAGCCAGCAAGGCACACGTCAACAATCTACGACAACCGACGTATCCCTGGCGAACGCAGCCAGCACGGCACGCGTCAACAACAAATGGCGAGCGAAACAGCAAGCAGTAATGGAGGCTGTACACTCACACGAGAGGAGTTGCTAGGGACCACAAACCTAAAGGCAAGAGAGTGGCGTCACATTGATCCAAAGATCTGGGACGATGAGATCGAAGCCCCAGACGACGAGGTAGACGGAACTGCAGCAACAACGTACATTGCGCGTGCGATCGCAGACTACACAGACCGGCCAACAGCAGACGCAGAGCTCTTTGGTGAGTTCTGTCAGGACTTTGAAGGCTGGACTGAAGCTATGTTTATGCGCGCGCATGCAACGTATACTAAGGAACTAAAGCGGATCCTCCGCTTTAAGGGCGTGTACACTGGCCGTGTTAACATGCCGCCAAGCGAAGCTGTGGCCAAGCTACTGCACAAGGAGGATTGTCCGAAGTGGCCGGACGATCAGTTCCAATCTACTGCACAAGGAGGATTGTCCGAAGTGGCCGGACGATCAGTTCCAATCTACTGCCTTCGACGAGCGGTCAGCGGCGTATATGCTGCAACAGCGGAGGCTACTAGGACGACACACTACGGGATCGGTACAACCTACAAACGTAGGGACAGCGAGTCGAGCGCAGAGCCAAACCTCTGCAAGGGCAAGAGACCAAGACGCAGAGGATCAACAAACCGATGTCCAAGACGAGACCCGCACCCGTACCCAGGTCAGCCAACAACTAGCAGATCCGCTTGTAGAGACAATTGAACAGACACCACAGGCAGACGGGCGACACCAGGCGGACCAGCGACAGCAAAGTCATCAACCTCGCTTAACGTACAACAACTTTGACAGATTCCGCGAATACACGCCAGCATACCCACAACGCCCAAAGGGACCGAGCGTCCCTCCAATTATACCTTCAGGGGATACAGACCCATACAAGGCAGTTCCCCCAATCGAGTTTAATAATGGGAAACTAGATCCGAAGACAATCAATGTCTTTACAAAGATGTGGGATCGTGAGAAGAAATACACAGGGAAGCCGTACGACCTCCTAGACGACAAATTGAAGATCTTCTACAGCATCTGCTATCACGTAGACATCCAGCCAGACCAATTCCATGCAGTCTTTCCACGGATCCTGGAAGGCCGTGCGCAAGACTACTACCTCCACTTCGTTGATCAGCGGACAGATACATTCTTGACTGTATACACGAAGCTTAAGAACCACTTCGACACGGACGTCAACCACAGTCACTACTATGCAGACTGGACGACGACATCCTTTGCTAAAGTCCATAGGGAGAATCCTGACAAGACACTCCATGAGGTCCTTGACATTATGCTAGACAAACTCCAGTTATGCCAGAGGGCGCTTGGGCAGCAGTATATGGGAGAATATGCGCTCCGGACCACAGTAATCACAGCATGTCGAGGCGTTAAAGAGTTCGCAATGGCGCTCTACAGGCCGTCTCTAGAATGCGAGGTCCTATTTGGAGATCTACGATCTTCGATTGAAAACTCACTCGCTATGACTACCTCTGTCAACTTCACAGAGGTAGACCAAGGTAACCAGTACTACTTAGACCGCCGGTACAACAGCAATGGAAGAAACCGAGGTGGGTCCCGAGGCGGAACTAGAGGCGCATTTCAAAAAAGGCGAACAAAGCTTTGACAGTAGCCGTGGATTCAAGCCACGCTGGAAGAAGAAGTGCTTTGTCTGCCAGAAGGAAGGATGCTGGTCCACAAACCACACAGACGAAGAGCGCAAGACTGCCCGTGCGCAGTTCTTCTCTATGCTGTATTTTACAGGTGCGCCACCACCCAAGGACTTCTCAGTACACCTTGCAGAGTACGAAGGAATTGAGCACACCAGCCAGTATAACCAGAGAGGCTGGAAAGAGGAGGAAGACTGCGAGGATGACGACAATGACGACGGCACTGGCGAACAACAATACTTTGAGCAGCAGTTCTTCAAGGAGCAATGCCTTGCAGACCAGGCGTTCTTGCATCACATTTCTGGCGACGACATATACGGTCGAGGCGCGCCGTCAGCACCAGCGTCGCAGTTTCTGCTCGAGGACCGCTATACACGATCTCTGTACCAAGGTATCCTCCCGGATACAGGCGCTGCCAACGTATCTACAGTTGGCAAAGAGCAGTATCTTGCACTCACACGAGAAGATCCAACAGTTAAGATAGACACATCTACAGCTGGGAAAGCATCTATCAAATTCGGAAAAGGCGAGGCTACAGCGTCTATTGGAACAGTGCAGGTCTCTACAGAGATTGGGAAGATCAACTTCGAAGTGCTCGAGGCGCCTACACCGTTCTTGCTGTGCCTTGCAGATATGGACCGCTTAAAAGTCTACTTCAATAACACTACAGATGAGCTTGTTCAGGACAAGATACGCATCCCTGTTCTACGCAAATGGGGACACCCATGGTTCCATCTCAACAAGAGAGAGAGAGCAACGGTGTTTCTCACTGAGACAGAGCTGAGACGGCTCCATCGCCGGTTTGGACACCCAGCTGTCACGCGACTAGTTAAACTCTTAAAGGACGCTGGCCATAACGACTTTGAAGAGAGAACCCTAGAGGAGGTCACTGAATTCTGCCACCACTGCCAGCTCCACAGCTCCGCGCCGCGCCGATTCAAATTCACTCTGAAGGATGATCACCACTTCAACTATGAGATCCTGGTGGATGTGATGTATCTCAGCGGCAAGCCAGTATTACATGTGGTTGATTCTTCAACTGCTTTCCAAGGCGCAAAATTCCTCAGCGCTATCTCAGCTAAGGAGACATGGCAGGCACTGCGGATGCTATGGATCGACACGTATCAAGGACCACCAGACATCATCACACATGATGCAGGCACCAACTTTGCAAGCGCAGAGTTCCGTGCTGAGGCAAAGATCATGGGAGTTACATGCAAGCAGGTGCCTACAGAGGCTCACTGGTCGGTGGGCAAGACTGAGAGATACCACGCACAACTTCGCCGAGCATGGGATATACTCCATGACGAGCTCCAAGACGATATGTCTGATGAAGCGATCCTTCAAATGGCCGTGAAAGCTGTCAATGACACCGCTGGACCCGATGGTCTAGTCCCGACTCTACTAGTCTTTGGAGCATACCCACGAATGACTACAGAGTCGCCGCCGGCACCTTCAATGGTTAGGCGCAGCGAGGCTATTCAAAAGGCGACGAAAGCCCTGCGCAAGCTTACTGCAGAGCGCCAAGTTGCAGACGCCTTGAACACCCGCAATGGACCAGCCACTGCAGACATGCTCGCGCTCCCACTCCAGAGTGAAGTCTTAGTATGGAGAGAGAGTGATGGCTGGAATGGCCCGTACAAGATCGCCAGTATAGACGGCCACAACGTTACTGTCGATATGGTCAATGGTCCAACAACATTCAGATCTACTGTCGTCAAGCCATACTACAGACCGGACCATCTTTGGAGCGACCCCGATGCGCCACACGCGCTGAATGAGCCGCATGAGCCGGTAGCAGTACCACCGGCAGTGCAACCACGCAAGAGAGGCCGCCCTCCAGGATCAAAGAACAAGCGGAAGGGGCACGCGTACATCACCAAGAAGGAGCAGGACGATCTTGAGCTAGCTATCAAGCTACGTAACGATGGAGTTATCACAACACCAGGCGCACCCTTTGAAGCATCTGATGACCAAGAGATCAGCGACCTCGTAGGTCGTGGAGTCTTCAAGTTTGAGCAATACGACGAGAGGCTACACAGCAAGATCCGGATCTTCAAGTCACGCCTGGTACGTGAGGTCAAGGGAAAGACAACCAAGCCCTATGAGAAATCCCGCCTGGTTATCCAAGGCTACCAGGACCACGGCAAAGAGGCTATCTTGACGCAATCTCCAACCATCCAGCGATGCAGCCAGCGCCTGATCATGTCGCTGGCGCCCGAGATGGTACAACGCGGAATGAACATAGAGCTCCGTGATATCACGCAGGCGTATCCCCAGGCGCAGACAACCCTGAAGAGGACGATACTCGCACATCTTCCTACTGAGCTGGTACCACGATATCCGAGGGGCACGCTACTCCATGTGATCAAGCCACTGTATGGAATCGCAGAGGCAGGAGTCCACTGGTGGACAACCTATCATGGGCACCATTGCAAGGAACTGGACATGGCAACATCTACGTACGACCCATGCCTGTTAATCACAAACAGCGACACCAGCATCTTCGGCATCGTTGGCATGCAAACAGATGACACTCTCATGCTTGGGACACCCGCGTTCTCGTTACTTGAAGAGAAAAAGATCCAGAAGGCAGAGTTTAGATCGAAACCAAAGTCTGTCCTTACACCAGAAATTCAATTGGATTTTAATGGATGTACACTCACGATCGACGCTAGCAAACCAATTCTGAACCTTAGGCAGAAAGGACAAGGAGGAAAGATCAAACTTGTGGACGTTAGGGCACCCGACCGCGCGCAACAGTACACAGAGCAGCGCGCCCGCGGAGCGTACATCGCATCAACATGCCAACCAGAGGCGTCATTCGATCTGTCCGTCGCCGCTCAGGCGCAGCAACCATCAGATGAGGACATCAAGGCACTCAACAAGCGCCTGAAGTGGCAGATAGAGAACCTCGATCGTGGCCTCCGTTACATCACTGTCAATCTCACGGAGGCTAAGTTGATGGTCTTCGTAGACGGCTCCTTTGCCAACAACAAGGACCTCAGCTCACAGCTCGGCTTTGTCCTCATGCTCGTCAACGAGTCTATTGACGCTAACACCTTCACAATCCAAGGCAACATAATCCACTACAGCTCTACAAAATGTAAGCGCGTCACAAGGAGCGTACTAGCCTCTGAGATTTATGGCATGGTCAACGGCTTTGATATAGGCATCGCTATTGCCACTACCTTAAGAATAGTCACAGAACGACTTAGAATACCTGAGGTTCCCTTGGTTGTCTGTACAGACTCGTACTCCTTGTACGAGTGCCTCGTTAAGCTTGGAACAACGAAGGAGAAGCGTCTTATGATCGACATCATGGCGCTGCGTCAATCATATGAGCGTCGCGAGATCACTGAGATCCGCTGGATCAATGGTGACGATAATCCTGCTGACGCCTTCACGAAGGCATCGCCAAACCGCGCTCTTGAACGCTTTATTGACGGCAACAAGCTGACAGTCCGAGTAGATGGATGGGTGCAGAGGCCGACAAGCTTTGATGTTTGATGCTACACACACTGTCACTACCGATACAAGCAGAGTTACTAGCTATCCAGAAAGAAAAGACTTCCAATGTCGAATCGTGAGTATCGGTAGAGACGTCGGCTGCTTGACACTTCGGCCCGACTTCGGCCCACCTTGCGCAGAGCTTAGGTGTACCTTCGTAGCAGCTATGTTCGTAGAAGATCAATACCAATACCAGTCACCAGAAGAACCTCGTTGTTGTTATTCACCCGTACGATCGTACAAGGCCTACCAACAATATATACTATTCTACCACGATGATCAGGAGTTCACTGATCGTACGTACCTTTTTGGTTGCATAGCGTAGTGGGCGTAGACCTACGTTCTGACAGTCGTCTTCCTAGGTATCTCGGCTAGTACTTTTACCCCATCCGCAAGTACAGTATGGGGGCTGCACTAACTTTCACACATTCTACCTATATTTAACTTTCCTTTTCTCCACTCTACTTGTCTCTTGTGGCTATTTCCACCAATGCACGCCGCTACTTGTTCACTTAGTCTTCTAGATGAATCTTTATTCGAGAAACCGAGAAACTGATCCTCCTCCCTTCCTAGCTTTACTATAGCGCTTAGTATTTGTAGAGAGTGATATATGACCTGTTTGTGTTGGACGTTTTTAGGTGTAGCGGATGTGAGTGTGAGCGATAGGGCGAGGAAGGGGTGGACGGTAATGCTATAGAGGAGGAGAGGTGGGTAGGCAGTATCACAATACAATACGATTATAGAATTTCGAGTAAATCAAGAGCAGAAGGAAACAGAGATAATAAGGGAATAAAATACCATTCGTGTCGGACTCCCGCACAGGGCAGGCTTGGGCAATCGAGTATCTTCTCCCATTTCCCAACGGCGACAATAATATGCAAAGCGGTTACATTGACGGTATATAATATTTTCAATGGAAGGTTTTTCCATGCGTTCATCGAGTACTCGAAGACGCGCAGTATCGTGGTGAGCGTTGGTCACGTGAGGGTTGCTGACTACCGTTGTCTCACACGCAGCCCATTTCACGAGTCATGTTCTTCGCGCAAGCATCTCACTCAAGGGAAAACGTAATCTCTCCGTTCTTCATTCCACAGCCCAGCCCAGCCCGTGGCTTGGTCTATATTTCTTTTCTTTTCTAAAGAATAGCTGTATAATAATCGATTGGCCCTGTGAAATTGCTGTAATATTTCCTTATGCTATAGCGGCATACATCCAGTATGGTCAAGGACAAGCTGTTTGATCGTCACCAGCGGTAGCATCACCACAGCAACAGCTTCCTCATACGCGCTTTCGTGTAAGGTCCCGATTCCTTCTTCTTGTTCTTCCGTTATATCCGTCCCCAGCTTGTCGTTTAAAGCCACAAATGCCGTCCTACCCGCTCGCTTCCAGCGCCGCAATCTTGGCGACCTCCACATTGCACAGCCATCGTTCCCTATGTGCGGCTCGCAGGTGGGAGGGAGGCGGGGAAAGCCTCATGCCCTGCCCCCATCCAAGAGAAAAGGTAGTCGTCGAAGATAAAAGTAAAAAAAACTTGATCATTTGCAGCCCAGCTCCTATTCTTTCTGGTCCTTCTTGTCCTTCTTGCAGGCCCAATTGTACCTGACCAAACACTGATCCGCACACTCATCGTACTGAGCAGTGAGCCCCATGGTCTCGCGGTCAATGTATAACTTTGCGCACTCGTCCAGACAAGGCTGTGCGGTGAGGTAAATGGCACAACATTCCTGACTCCCGACGTTCTGTGTGCAAAATGAACTTTTTTCGGTTGACGAGTTGCCGAGATGTGAGGTGATGAAGTTGTTGATGGCCTGGGTTAGGCAGGGTAGAACATGGTAGAGGACCAAGGGGACGCAGATGAGGAGGAGGATGAGCGTTGTTATGGGCCGACTGCGGGAGGTGTATCTGCGGTGGAGGCGGGCGGTTGTAGTGGCGCGGGGGGTGGGTTTGGTATCGATTCTAGAGGGGCTTGCTTCTTTCATGATTGGTGATTGTTGGATTTGGAGGTCTTGTTGCATTTGGGATTGAGCCAAGGGAGACAAGTGCGAGAGAAACTGATGATTGTAGTGTGACCTTGGTTGTGATAGTGGTTCGCTAAATGAATGTTGATAAAATGACGACAAAATATTTCAAGATGGTGAGAAGAGAATGTTGGACGCAAAGGGGTTGGGTTTGCAGAGAATCTAAAATCAGAAATGACAGCTTCGCTGGCGGTATGTATGTATGACAAGATCGACAGCCACATAAATGTGATCGTCAACACGGTACGGCGGCAGCGCTAGTGTGCTTCGCTGACAAGTGCGGTTTCTTCACCAATCTGCTACCCGCAGCGTCTTGGGCCTCGTATGATTAGCTGAATTCGTCCAAGGGCTGATGATATCCAAGGAGTGGGCCAATCGCGCAAGGCTAGTGTAGGCATGGGCTGTAATGACTTTCGTATGCAGGAAGAAAACGGTTTTCCACATGCGCTACGTACCCAATCGGTGGGGTAGCTGGTGCACGATTGGTTTGTGAAACGGGGACGGGTAACTGGCAGTTTCTACCTCTTAAGGTTCTACGACCGTTAGTAGACAGGGACCCGACCGCAGCTGCGGTAATGAGCGTGGCCCGGTCGAGATGTCTTGTGTGGCACAGGCAGGAGATCTGGGGAAGTTTCGCTCGTGCTCTCGGGCGCTTGGCCTGATATTATGTCCGTCCGTAAGCTTCCGAGAATACGAGGTAGTTGGTGCTGGGTACTGTAGCCATTGGGCTTTCCATGTGGCCGCACCCTTTTTGACACGGTGACCATGCCAATTTGCTGACGTAGAAGAGTGTGCCGTTAACAAGACCAAAAACGAATGGAAGTTGAGGTATCTCGGTAGTCGCGCTTTATCCTTTCACTGTTCTGCGACACCGCGTTCGTCTCACATTGACCCTCCAAGGGTAACGCGCCAGAGGCTAGCACGGTTCAGGCGATAAGCGTGGTCCGCTTTAGTTTCCATCTTCACAGATCGTGGACGATCGCTGCAAGGATGCGATGAGTACGTATTTTTTGTTCAACGCCGATGAATGCTATTCGCTGCTTGTATACCGTACATGATGCACAAAGGGCGCGTCTACTAGACTGAGCCTCACGCTATGCCAGATGAAGATGAAAAACGCACAGATGTCCAGTCGGAGTCAGATGAGAAAGGCCAGAATGACAGGCAAATTACCGAATATCACGTACACGATAAAAATGTTCAGTGCCATGAGATACTGCGCATGTTAGCTTGTGTTCAATCAATACAATTACATAAACTTACTACAACATGATGCCGGCACCAGTGAACATGGCGCTGAACTGCATCAGGGTCTTTCTCAGTTCTTGACCCTTGTTCGGGCCGGTCTCAAGTAGTTCTGGTATGACAGCAACTGTTCCGACATACAGAAACGTGCCAGCGGTGAATGGGAGCAACATGTCACCCCATTGCAGACTGGTACCCATAATTCCAGGGCCGTGGGCGCCGGCTGACGCGGAGTTTCCGCCGAATTCTTGGATAGCGATGCCAATGCATGTGCCTAGAAAAGCGCCGACAGCTGTGACAAATTGCGCGCCCATAGCTGCGCGCTTACTAAAGCCCGACTGTATTAGGAGAGCAAAATCGCCCACCTCGTGAGGGATTTCGTGAAAGAACACAGCCACAGTAGTTGTAGCTCCGATTGTGGGTGAGGCGTAAAAGGAAGAACTGAGCGCGAGCCCGTCGGTGATGTTGTGAGTGAAGTCGGCGATAAGGTTGAGGTAGCCACCAAGTTTAACGCTGGCGTTGATCTCCTTCTCGGTTGGTGCGTCTGCGGTGGCCGATGTAGCGTTTGCACCAGACTTCCTGGCGCGAAGCGTATCTTTCGAGTCCTTTGTGCCGATGCCTGTCGCCTTCGCAGTTGCTTCGACCTTCTCGTGCGAATGTCCATGGGAGTGATCGTGGCCGCCTTGGCCTCCAGTCGCAATGCGCAACCCCTTGTCCATGGCCACAAACGTGACAAAGCCCACCATGATGGCCACGCCTAGCAATAGATTCTTGTTGGGCTCCACCATAACAAATTTGACCGAATCGTGTTCGTCCTCGCCCAAGAAGATCTCTGGTAGCAGATGGAAAAGCGTGTCACCTAGCAGACCCCCGACAGCGAATGCTACCATGACAGACAGCGAGGACGGGTCGATGTTGGGCGGGCATAGTGCGAGGAGGAAGTTTGGTGGGCCGGATATGTAGAGCGTCGCCAACAAGGAATTGACTGCAGGACTGCCGGGGAAGAGGAAAGCGAAGATTTGGGAGGCGACAGACGATGTTGTCGGACTCGAGGCTACCTTGTGCTGATTGAGAGCTTGCACCAGAGGACATTCCTAATACGTGTCAACACTGCAACAAGCACGCGACATGTCGTCCTGTCGATACAGTCCGAAGTAGGATAAAGTGAACAAGGCATATTAAGACATGCATCAAGTGAATAGCATACCTGTAATTGCTCCTCTATTTGATGGGTAGTCAAGTCCTCCACTGACACTCCCGTCTCGCCCTTGACAGCTGCAGCAGCCACATTCCACGCCAACACTGCAACAAATATCGCCAAGGACACCAAGGTTCTGTTGCGACGCGAAACCATGGTGACACGTGATTCAATTAAACTCGACCAAATAATTGATGGCGGGGGTTGATAATGGAAGCATTTAGGGACCTGTGAGCTGCCGATACATAAGTACTATCGCCAGTTCCGTTATCGATAAGGCTAGCGCCGTGGTAACATAAAGTTCGCCAAAAGTTTTGGAAGTTGCGACTGGCGCCTCTGCAACACTCCATCACCCTGCCATATTCTCCAAACGCCCAAAAATAATATACAATGGGTCGCGAACTCCAGAAGAAGAAGAACAAGTCTTCCATCCCCAAGAAGCGCCAGAATGGCCCGTCCAAGAAGAAGATTCTGCAGAACCCCATCATAGCCAAGCACTGGTACGTGCCACCACCTTGTACTTGGATGCGCACATCTAATAGCCGTGTGTAGGAACCAGAAAGAAACTCTATCGCAAAACTACCGCCGTCTCGGTCTCACAGCACGCCTCAACCACGCAACGGGTGGTACCGAGAAGACGATTGCCCTGCTCGGCCTCAACGACGCAAATTCCTCGCGCGCCGACATAGCCGCTGGTAGCACCGCCGATGCCCTGAACATCGTATCCAAAGCCAAAAAGCCCGAGAACATCCCCACTGAGGAGATCGAAGTCGAGCGCGACCCCGAGACCGGTGCCATTCTCCGCGTAACAGGCACCCTAGAGAAGAAGGACAACCCACTCAACGACCCGCTCGTCGAGATCGAGAATGAAGACGAGGACATAGAATGGAATGGTTTCGCCATGGTGCCCGAGCAAAGGGGTGGCGAAACAGAGAACCCAGTCATCAGAGAACTAGAACAGGCGGCGTTGAACGGTGCGAAGAAGGCTCCCCGAGGCCAGAGTCAGCGTGAGCAAGAGTGGGTTGAGCGCTTGGT